CTTTGAACAATGGCTGGCCCAGGATAGAACCCTGTGGGACTCCTGTCACTTCTGTCCACAATGTGATGGAACCATATGTGAGCACTTCTTGGGTGTGGTCTGTTCATTTAGTACAAATCCACCACATAGTAATATCTCCCACGTTTCGTCCACTCTTCTGGTTTCATGTCTTCCATTTTTCTTTCTCATGGGAACTTATGAAGAAAGGGAGAGTAGTCACAGGCCCTCCTCATGTGTGACTGACAAAGAGAAGACTGAGGGAAAATGTCTTCCAATATCTGAAGGGTTGCTACAGAGAAGAGGGCATCAATTTATTCATTGCACCTGGGGTTAGGACAAGAACCAATGGGTGTAAACTTGTCAGAAGGAGATCCAACCTGGAAATAAGGAGGAATTTCCTGACGGTGAGAACCATTAAGCAGTGGAACAGCTTGCCTCCCAATGTTGTGGGTGCTCCATTGCTGGAGGTTTTCAAGAAAAGACTGGACAGCCATCTGTCCGGGATAGTATGAGGGTTGGTATGGGGTCTCCTGCCTTGGGCAGGGGTTTGGACTAGAACCCTACGATGATTCTATGATGACAGTATCATTTGTCCCACAGGGAGAATAAAGAAGTGTTAATGGGTTTTATGAGTGTTGGCAGTCTTTCTCTTATGACTTTGATCCTCACAACAGGAAAACAACACATCCCATCAGGTCTACACACTGCTCTCTGTTCCCTCACCACCATGTGGCATGAAGTCTTCCATTCATCCTTCCAATCCTCCATGGTTACCTCTGCCTGATCTCTCAGTTTAAACAGCCCAGAATCACCATCCATGGAAAGAATCCATGGAAAACTCCTCTCCAGAACCATCAGGGTAAGTCATCCAAACAACATGTTTGTTTATTTATGGAGTTTTCAAGGATTCAAAAGCTCGTCAGCATTTATTTTTAATTTTAAATCTTGACTTTCTATCAAGATGGGAATTCAAGGTCACCTAATAATTACATTATCGATAAAAACAAAATAAAAATATAAAAATAAAAGAACAAATAAAAAAGACAAAAAATGTGGTGGCACATTAAAGATTAACTGTTATATTTTATTGTGAGCTTTTGTTGACAGGTCCACTTCCTGAGACATAAGAGAGAGATATAACTGGCTGTCTGGTTGGTTGGTTGGTTAGAAAGTCAATTGGTATTTAACAGTGGGATGATAGCCTCTTTGTTATACAAATATATTTATTTAAGGTTGTGTTATAAAGGATGTAAGAACTTCTATTTTGAATAACAATGATAGAATTGCATGAATGTTAATTATAATGAGGAGACTGACTTTTTATAGTTGCTAATGACCTTTTCTTTATAGGAAGTTATCTGGTGTAATTCACAATATTTTGATGCCATGTATAAATATTTGCTATAACTCTCTCTTATTATACCTGAAGAAGTGGACCTATCCATGAAAGCTCACATTAAAATACAACAGTCCTTAAGGTGCAACAATGTTTTTGTCATTTTTATTTGTTATTTTATTTTTATTTTGTTTTTACCTATAATGCTTGCAAAGACTAACATGGTTACCTCTTCTGCAACTAACAATGGGCAGGATAATATGGGAAACAAATAGTAATTTAAGTGTCCTTAGCCAAACTAAACATTATGGTTTATAAGTTATCTGAAGCTAATGGCATGGTTTCCCTCTAGGAATGAAAATCCTTCAAAACTGTGTGTGAGCATATCGAAGAAAAAATTGTGTTAAGATAAACAGATAAATCTTATTTCTCAAAGCAGCTCTGCTTTAAAATGATTACTAACTGTATCATATATTTTGACCTCTATTCAACTTTTGGACTTAAAAGGTAATGGCAGGACTACAAATTGGGTCCAGAAATTACATTGCAACTCAGAGAAGATCAAACAAACAGGGTTCTCACAAATCACCTCAGACAGTAAAAGAATTCTGGAAGCAGTGCGCCTATTTTGTGGAATTTGCGGTCGAGTGTGCCATGGTACGTTAGCCAGCCTTGATTACTACACACTTTGCATTAAAAAGAAAGCATCACCTGCTATTCTACCTGAAAAATGTCTTACACCAGCCCTGTGTATCAGCATTCTGGGCACTACACTCTCTGCCAGTCTTCAAACACTTTCCAAAGATATGCCCAACACATGGACTGTGTTGCTATAATCTAGTGTGGATGCTACAAAGGTATCTACTGCTGTGATAAGGTCAGAGCTGACCCTAAACTCATTAATTAAGCTTTTTCAATCAGCAACTTAAGACAATGTTGCTATCTCCATATTGCAGGAGGAGATGACACTGAGCAAATACTCCTGAGGCAGAATCTGAACTGAGGAATTTCTCACAGCTTACACACCTGGCTAGTCATAACACCAACTGTCACTGTGATCCTACACAATATGCTTCAATTCAACTAGAGCTGTGTGTGTCTTCCATTTGTGGGGCTGTAGTTTAACACTGGACACTATTATTCCTTATTGGAAGTAGGGAACAAACAGGGAGCATCATTCCACTTATAGGTCTATCATGTAACTACCATCCCACTCTGAAAACTCAATCCTTCTTGTTCCCATGACAACCTACATGTGATTCCATTGTCTCTCCAAGGCCCCTTTCCTGCATTTTTATTTCTGTTCCACCACTTGCCTCCCCCTTCCCTCTTTTTTTTTATTCTGCCGCTTCAATAGTATCTCTGTATTCCTCTCTGTCACTGATTTAACATTCATTATACTGACATGTATACAGTTTTTGTACTGTTATTAGCACTGCTTTCTCTGAAAAGCTTTCCAATCCAGGAAGAAGTACCACTGAACTTGAGGTAGACAGTCAAATCACTTATTTTGCATTGGCCATACATCAGCAGCCCATGTATTTTCTCTCCCCTACTTTAAATAACTTTATTATTTTAAAAAAAAACTGGTTTTCCAGTATCCAGCTTTTGGACGTTCCCTTTTTCATAGCCTGTTCTTGGAAATGCTGAAAGAAAGACTGAGCTCTCAGTTTATTAATGTACTACATGTAGTGAACTCCCATTCTGGTGTACTGGACAGAACAACAGACTAAGATAGCACATAACACACACACACATTTTTACATGCCCTCCCTCCAGAAAAATCAAAGTAGCACATGTGGTTCTCTCCATATCTTTGATTCTTAAAAGAATCTTTGAGATAAGTTAAGATGGTAATGAACCTAGACACAAAATTTTCATGCCTGATTTGAACCCTGGGCTTGCCCATTCTAGTCATGTTGCCAAAATTGGGGAGGGGGGAGTACAAGGTATCATGGCACTTGAAGAACTAACATTTGTTCCAGTGTGAGCATTTACAAATCAAAATCTACTTCCTAAGATCCATGAAGAAGACATGTCTTTAAGGAACCAGAATATTTTGCCTCTTTTTCCCCCACACCTTTTTCCCCCCTTTCTTTTCCCTTTCATAGAACTGCTCTGTTAGTTCCCTGGTTTAGGCATCTAGCTGCAGAGCCAGAGGTTGGGAGCTGGATTCCCCACGGGGTCTCCCTGACAGAGGCTGGACTCAATGATCCATTGGGTCCTTTCCAGTCCCTGAAGTTCTAAGATGAGGATTATGATGATGGTGATATTCACAAAATTCTGAAACAGACTAGCATAGTTACTTCTTTGGAAACTGCAATCCTAATTAAACATTCAGGCTGACTTTTTACAGAATTGCCAGGTATTTGCCGATAAAACTTTTATACCTTTAAAGAGTGTTAATATCAACCTCATATCTGCATCATCATTCTGGAGAAGCCTCGCCTTCTGGTTGCCACTTAGCTGTAAAGGTGTTGGGTTTTTTGTTTGTTTGTTTTTCTAAGTAGTGACTCCTTCTCAAACAATTTCAACTTGATTTGATAGAGGAACCATAATCTGATCATAACCTGGGCAAAGTTAGAGCCATTGCAAAAGGAAACATGTCCAACATGCCAGGAGGCTGGTTTTCTGTTTGTTTTGTGGGTTTTTTTGTTTTGGGGTTTTTTTCTTTCTTTCTTTCCTGTTAGACAGTGACAGGGTTATCTCCTGGCGTTTCTACGTTTTGGGTTTTTTTTTTCTTTCTTTCTTTCCTGTTAGAGAGTGACAGGGTTATCCCCTGGCGTTTCTACCGTCTGAAGTGAAATCGAAAGACCCAAAAAGTCCCAGAGGAAGGCTCTCTAAGAACAAAGGTGGCCAGTGTTTCAACTTCGGAAGCAGAAATTTTTTGGTTGTTGTGGGTTTTTCGGGCTCTCTGGCCGTGTTCTGAAGGTTGTTCTTCCTGACGTTTCGCCAGTCTCTGTGGCCAGCATCTTCAGAGGACTGCTGACACACTAGACGTGCAAACACAGGCAGCAAGGCAAGGGTGAGGGAGGAAACGCACTCTGCACTTGGCCCCGGGCAGGTACCTTCTTATTAATCCCTCTTATCGTACTCCTGAGTCCGGAGCAAGCAGGTCTGGGAGGGAAACATCCCCCAGGTCGCAGGCGGGGCGAGAGGCACCGCGGCCTCTCTCTCTCTCTCTCTGGAGTCCCCCCTCCGCTCCCCGCTCCCCTGACGCTTCCCCTCAAGTCCGCGGAGGCAGAGCGACACCGCCGCCCCTTCGCCAAAAGCACCTGCCTTCCCCTTCCCCCACCCGTCCCACGCGCGCCGGGGCGCCTCTTCGGCGAGAGCCTTCCGGGAACTGCGCGCCTTTCGCTCCCGCGCGGCACCTGCCTGCCTGCCTGCCTGCCTCCCTGCCCGCCCGCCGCGGGCTCCGCCTCACTCCCTCCTATGCCCGGGT